ACTGTTATTTCCACTAAAAATAATTAAAGCTTTTTCATTCTTTGGACCATTTTCACCTTTGCTATAAATTCATCCTTCGATCCCAAGTTCTCCTTTTACTCCTCACTAGCTATCATATTTTTAATATCTTACCTTAATTTATCTTATTTGTGAGCATTTCGGCTCCCCTAGACTTGCTAGCGTAGTTGTTCTTTGAATCTTCCATTTACTTATACCTTGTATCATTATTTGTACAAGGGAATGAATAATCTACCAAATAAATCATAATCTCTGATTCAGTCCCAGCGTTACCTTCAAATTAAGCCACTAAGCCCATTATCTAACAGTTTTATGGATTATATGTCCTTGAAACTTCCAGAACTACATGATAACGAGATAAGGCTTCGATAGTTATTATTCTCAGACAAGGCTTTAAATTAAAACTCAGATTCATCATAAATAAAGGGGGCGCCTATGCTTGTGCACTGGATGATTTTTTGTATGAATAGCTGTTGTGTACTGCAACGGTCTAGTAAATTTCAAACCACCTCTTGCCTATAATTTAGATGATATTTCTTTTAAAAGATCGCCTTATTCATTGCAGATTTCTTCTTATCTCATTAAATTCATAATACATTTAACCCTACATCCAAGATAAGAAGTATCTTTTATCTGACCTTTGCTTTCAGATATTTTTAGTAACTTTTTAAAATGGGCCCAGCATTCTCTGCCCTGATTTGTTATAACTTCAATCTTCACATGATTATGACCGCTAGGAGCAATAACTTATAAAGTCACTCATTGATCTGTCTTTCGTTTTCAACCTTATCACCACTTCTGGCTCTATCAATTGACTCAGTTCCCAGAGCTCTTTCCCTAACCTGAGCAAATCCAAGTATTGGTGATCCCAGCCTGCATTAGCTCTGCTTTTCGGCCTCAACAGGCTTGAATACACTTAAATCTATGGGAACATTAACTTTTACCTTTTATAACTTAGAAACACTTACATAGTATAGCAATTCCATAGGCATGCTTTAGCCTATCTAGGAGATGGTAGTTCCTAAACCTACTTATAAACTAAAAATATTTCATCCTATACAGGAAGCGACAAATAATTGAAGTCGAATTACTGAGACCTACAGGCATTATAAATTTTTCACTGGGCTATATTTTCTAAATAGTGCTGACAGCAGCTTTGATACTACGATGGCCTTGTCATATGAAATCACATGCTTTATGCTTGTTAACTTTAAATCTATGTTGCTTTGTGACTTTTAGAATTCCATCAAATCCGTATTGATGAACAGATAAACTGCTAATAAACATCAACCCCACTACCATTCTTCCCATCGATAGTTTCTCGGAAAAACTACTTGACTTGGGCTTAAATGATGGCAATATAGCAGCGCTCGATTCGGGATCATATACATTTACTGAACTAAAATATTTATTGTAGTTGCTTGACCTTGTTTTCGTAACTTGATCATATTGGCAGGAGGACCTAGAGGAAGTCACTTAGTCCGGAGTCCACAGTATGCGTGATAATTTCCAGAGTCGAACCGTGGACTTGGTACATTCCCAGACGTTTCGCCGGCACCGTCAATGAGTCTTTCCATTATTAGCATCGCACTACAATTTGTCAGAGAGACAAGTGAAGTAGATCCTTTGACCAGATTATGTAGAGATGTGTGTAGGAAACCTACAAATACAGGTTTCCTTTTAGTTTATTTTCCAACTATACTTATGTGGTTGAAGTAGGCACTGTGAAGTATACTATACTAAGGAGCCTGCATCTGGCAGCTGTTAAGCATCGGGACCAGGAATTAAGAAAACTAAGGAGAATGCTGGTTGGGAATAATTATCCACTAGGACTGGTTGACAATTATTTTAGAATAGGGTCCAATAACATGGTTGGAAATACAGATTTGGAGCTAGATAAGAAGTTTGACCACTCTAACATAGCTCTTATGTTATCATCGTGTAATCTGTCGAAGGAGATAGGCGAATTACTAAGGAAGTGGGACATCAAGACCATTTATAAAGAGAAAATAACACTTACTTTGGTATTGCCTCTCTTTTGAGAATACTCTGACCCTCTCTCAACATCAGCTTATTACAAGATCTTGTATTCATACGGTAGCACCTATGTGGGAGAAACCTGTATGCTCATGCAAAAGAGGTTATCTGAACACAAAACAACCTTACTGTTAGGAGATTAATCGAAACCCAGTTACTCTTCATAAATCAGTCTGCTAAGGTCTGTGGGTCCAAAAATTGGAATCGGCCGAACACATGCCTCGCACAGGACACCATCTACTGCATTTATCGTGCTTCTATCCACAATACCAAGTCTATCACTATGTGTCAACCCACAAATGTTGTGGTTCTACTTGTTTTGATTAGGCTTACTGAAGACCTCTCCTCTTGCCTTCTGATCTCCTTGCGATTTCTTCTCATAAAATTAAAGATGCTACCTTGATCCAGTCGTATTCTTTTTGCTGATCTTTACTGTTGCCTGGTCTTCTTCGAGTTTGTTTAGGCAATATGCTAAGTTTTCACTAATCCTGCCTTCTTCAAGTCTTCTGTTCATTAGATTTATCTCGGTGAGTGTATCGATAGCCTCTCGGATCTTGTGTTTTCTCGTATTTTCACCATTTGCAGCCAGTCTTTCTATCGATCTTCAGTCGACTTCGTGTCCTCTTCATGCAATTTGTTCCGCTATTTCGGATCTTTCCGTATTCATGTTTCTTCAGAGTCTGATGTTCCTTGATTCCTTGACCGATTTGCCTTCATTTTCACCAATATTCTTTTGCTCACAGTTTCTGCATTTGATGTGATAAACTCCCGAGCAATCCAGTTTATAAATCTTCTCGTTTTGCGTCGGTAGACTAGTTAAAAGTTTTGTCTTCTCCTTCGTTATCCCCTTGATATTCCATTTTATTAGTAATGGTTGCCATTTTTGACTCATTTAGCGCGAGGGCAGGAATATACACTTTTAGTCGTTCTGATTCCTGCTCTTTATGACGCCTGCACTTCTTTCTATAAATTCTTTGGGGTAG